CCAACAGCATTTGCTTGCTTTGTGTCTCTGTCACATTTTGGTAATTCTCACAATATTTAAAACCTTTTCTTTATTATTATATTTGTTATGGTGATCTGTGATCAGTGATCTTTGATGTCACTATTGTCATTGTCTGGGGTGCCAGGAACCGTACTCATATAATACCATGAACTTAATCAGTAGTGTGTTCTGACTGTTCCAGTAACCTCCTGTTCCCCCATCTCTCTCCTCTCAGGCCTCCTTATTCCCTGAGACACAATAATGAAATGAGGCCAAGTGAAAACCCTATAATGGCCTCTAAGTGTTCAAGTGAAAGGAAGAGTCACACATCTCTCAAGAGCTAGAAATGATTAAGCTTAGTGAGGACGGCATTCAAAAGCCAGAAGAGGCTGAAAGCTAGGCCTCTTGCACCAAACAGCCAAGTTGTGAAGGCAAAGGAAAAGTTCTTGAAGAAAATGAAAAGTGCTACTCCAGTGAACACACAGATGTGTGAACACCAGCCACAACATTCCCATAAACCGAAGCCTAATCCACAGCAAGGCCCTAACTCTTCAATTCTAGGTAGGCTGAGAGAGGTGAGAAAGCTGCAGGAGAGATGCTGGAAGCTAGCAGAGGTTGATTCATGCAGTTTAAGAAGCCATCCCTAGAACATAAAAGTACAAAGTGAAGCAGTAAGTGCTGATGTAGAAGCTGAAGCAAGTTATCCAGATCTAGATAAAATAATTAACGAAGGTGGCTACGCTAAACAACAGATTTTCAATGTAAATGAAACACCTTCCATTGGAAAAAGATAACATCTAGGACTTTCATAGCTAGAGAGAAGCCAATGCCTGGCTTAAAGCTTCAAAGTACAAGCTGACTTTTCTTAGGGGCAAACGCAGCTGATGACTTTAAGTGGAAACCTAGTGTCCATTTACCATTCTGAAAATCCTAGGACCCTTAAGAATTATGCTAAATCTGATCAGCCTGTGTTCTATAAATGAAACAACAAAGCCTGGATGACAGCACATCTGTTTACAACATGGCTTACTGAATATTTTAGGCCCACTGTTAAGACCTACTGCTTGCTCAAACAATGAATCATGGAACACTACATCAAAAACTAATGATGTACTGTATGGTGACTAACATAACATAAAAACAACAACAAAAAGACCAACTGTTCAGGAAAAAAAGATTATTTTCAAAATATTATGGTCTAATTGGCAATGCACTTCGTCACCCAAGAGCTCTGATAGAAGTGTACAATGAGATTAATGTTTTCATGCCTGCTAACACAACATCCATTTTGCAGCCCATGAATCAAGAAGTAATTTTGCCTTTCAAGTCTTATTATTTAAGAAAAACATTTTGTAAGGCTATAGCTGCCATAGATAGTGATTCCTCTGATGGAGCTGAGCAAAGTAAGTAAAAACCTTATGAAAAGAATTCATCCTTCTAGATGCCATTCATGATTCATGGGAAGAGGTCAAACTATCAACATGAACAGGAGTTTGGAAGAAGTTAATTCCAACCCTTGTGGATGACTTTGAGGGATTCAAGACTTGAGTGGAGGAAATTACTACAGATGTGACAGAAATAGCAAGTGAACTAGAATTAGAAGTGGAGGTTGAGGATGTGACTGAATTGCTGCAATCTCATGATAAAACTGAAGGGATGAGGAGTTGCTTCTTATGGATGAGCAAAGAAAATGGTTTCTTAAAATGGAGTCCACTCCTGGTAAAGATGGTGAAGATTGTTGACATGATAGCAAAGGATTTAGAATATTACATAACTTAGTTGATAAAGCAGCAACAAAGTCTGGGAAGACTGACTCCGGTTTTGAAGGTTCGAGCTATCAAACAGCATTTCACGACAGAGAAATCATTCTTGAAAGGAAAAGTCAATTGATGCAGCAAACTTCATTGCTGTCTTATTTTGAGAAATTGCCACAGCCACCCCAACGTCTGCAACTGCCACCCTGATCAGTCAGCAGCCATCAATGACAAACGACACCCTCCTCCACCAGCAAAAAGATTATGACTTACTGAAGCTCGGATAATGTTTAGCATTTTTTAGCAATGAAGTGTTTTTCAATTAACGTATGAACTTTTTGAAAATATGCTATTGCATACTTAATAGGCTACAGTATAAACATAACCAAAAAATTCACTGGGCTCACTCCATTGCCAAATTTGCTTTACTACAGTGGTCTGTAACCAAACCTGCAATATCTATGAAGTATGACTGTATAGAAGGCAAATGCCAGTCTCAATAGGCTGATTCAGCTCCAGGAATTTGGGTGAACTGGAAACATTTGTTTTAATGCTGCATATAAAACCCTTAGCTTAAAGTTCAGGTTACATTACATAGTTTAGGTGCACAGCCAGCCATGAGGCTCAGCTGCAGCTGCTAACAATATTGTCTATCATTATAATTCTTTTCCTATTCACCTTTAATGCCAGAGCTCTTACTTTCTGTACCTCTCAAGCCACACAGCCTTATCATTCTTTCATCAATGGCTTCTTCATCAGCAACTTTTCCCCCTAACACAACTGCTTAAAATCGTATTTAAAGTGTCTGACTCCCCTTCGATGCCCAGCACAGAGATAGACTCCTAGGAAGTGCTCGGTGATAAGTGCCATGGTTCTTTCAGGATCTGTACCAGTGACTGCACAATAGGTTCTAATCACATCTGACTAACCCAAAACTAATGAAGCTACCCTCACTTTCCAGGCATCAGTGACCTTCCATAACACGGTCATAACTTGACAGTGAGGACAGCTGCACTCAGCCCAGAGGACCTCATACTGAGAGGTGATACTGACGGCTGTTGTTAGGCTTCTGATCTCACTGGGTAAAGCCTGACCTCTCCTCCATAGAGGGACCTGATGCCTCCCTCATTCTGCCTTTTCTCTAAAACACATCTTTAGGGCACCCTTCCTCCTTTCTGCAGCCCAGGTGGGTTGTATTACCTTCTCCTATCTGGTGCTGTCTCCTTGGAGTATTTGGGGAAATGGCTCAAATACCAAAGGAGGACTTGTTGGAAGGAAATGGGAGTGTCTTGTAAGAAACTCCAAAAAGTGAAACAGTAAGTAGATTAAGAGAGACAGGTGATTAGGAAGACTCACTAGATGTGACAGACCAGACTGATGAAGCAGCCGTGTGAAGATAATAATGATGATGAAATTAATAGCTAATATTCCCTGAATGCTTTTGAGGTATCGGGCACTGTAAACATTTTACACCAATTAACTCATTTATCTTCATAATAATCCTGTTAGGTGTTACTATCCATTTATAGATGGTGAAGTAATTTGTCCAAAGTCATATAAAGACAGTATACATGCAACTTGGATTTATATCCAGGTAACATGACTTTTGGGCATATACTCTTCACACACACATATGCATGCACACATGCACACACACACAGTTTTGAGCTCTTGAAAGGTATAAAGTGTGTCTTATTTATCTGCTCAAGAAATGGTTAACAGACATGACTGAGTATGATTCTCCATCAGTGACATTGTTAACATCATGATCTTAGCCCAATCTTCCAATAAGGTAATATACTCTTACTGCTTTAAGTCATTCACTGTATTTAACCCTGGCTTTCTTTTCCTAGTTCAGTGTCATTGTAAGATGTTATCATGTGTATACTCATGCTTCTTAATTGACAAAGTATGAGTATTTGGATAAATCCTCTCATAACAAAATAACAAGGTAACATAAAACTGTGTGTAGTGAAAGCAAATAATATCTAGGGATTGAAGTACTACTTCATCTTTGTGGTACCAGTGCTTGGGAGAGCAGGGGAAGCAGAGAATGGGAGAAACAGAAAGCATGTCATTATCCTACAACTGGATATATATAGTGGCCAGTCTACCCATAATCACAACAGTTCTTAATCTTTGTTTGATACCATTCCATGCTTCCTTAATTGTGTCTCTCAAAGATCCTTCAATGTTCTTTAGAATCTCAAAATCTCATAAATAAAACTAAATCAAAGGAAAGATAAATCTCTTTTTAAAAATTCACCATACCATTCCAAACCCACTATCTCTACTGAGAATCGCTATGGAATGTGCCTTCACCTCTTGGTTTTCAGTTAAGGTAGCTCATGTACTAGAGTGGAGTATTTTGTCGAAAGCTGGAAACCCTATCACTCATTCCACATCAGAATTATGTCAGTGACATAACATTCCTTTTTAAAATAATTTACTTACATCAAATGCCATAGATAATATAACCTGAAATAGAAGCTGTATAAGTGCCCTTTACTTCTAAGTGTCCAGACAGTTCTAATCATTGACATGTATCACCTGCCTAGTCACAAGATAGGAAACCATGGGGCCAGTCAGACTATTCAATTTATCTAAAAGTTAAGACTATTTGAAGCCAGGCTCTTTACAAACCATGAGTATCTGTCGGGGTTTGGTATAGAAAATGAAAACTGTCTTAAGTATTTCAAGAGGACATATATTACAAGTAACTGTTTTCAAAACTGGTAGGCAGGCTGGAGGAAAGGTAATGGGGACAGCTCTGGACTATTAATTTCAATGTAAGCTCTCGTAACTATGACCCAGCATGGAGAAATGACTGTTGCCGTATGCCACGCAACTTGAGACGAGACACTGGATCATGGAGTCCAGATGCAGCACACATGACAGAACAGACTTCTGTACCTTGCCTAGAATGACTCGCAGAGTTTATGTGCTCACACACAGCTTTGTAATTAGCGTTCATCCTTTAGGATTCAGATTGCAAAGCACATCCACCATTAAGCCTGCTCTGATCTCTCATAGCTTGTTGTTTCCCTGTACTTGTAAAACTTAAAATGTGTGAAACTGACACTAAAATAATGATATTCTTAGCACAGAGATCAGGCCATTTTTCTCTAGCTTAGTCAGTCTCCCACTAAAGGCTATAGTAAGGCTTAATTCTTCAAGAGGAAAGTAGAAAATTTTGTAAGAAATATCAGTGTCACAGTGAAAGAGTTCATTATATACAAACTGATTTTATTAGAGACCAAAAACTTTATTCACACCTTTTACTTCTTTTGCAGCTTTAATTTTTAACTTTAAAACATTTTCTGGATCCACTGGGTCACTAAATATCTTCACATGCCCATTAGCTAAAGAAACTTTTATGTAGGACTTGAGTAAAATTGCATGCTACTGCTATAAGGCATACTCAGTTATAATCTACTCGTTTGCTCTTCTGTAGAACTGCTTACAAACAGCATCATTGCAAAGAAAGATTTACACATAACTCCTACATCCTTCAGGCTGTTCTAGCATTAATCTTCTGATGTCTAGCACGTTAAGAACTCTCAGTGAACAGTTTGCTACATTTCTCATATAAGCTCTCTCCAGTGTGAGTGGATATAGAATAAGGAATACACCTTAACTGAAGGACTTCCCACAATTTTTACATTCATATTGCTTCTCTCTTGTGTGTACTCGATAAGAAATTCATATTGCTTAATGTCTTTCCCATGTTACATATATACGGTTTTTCTCCAGTGTGGACTTATGTCAATTAAGGGATTAATACTGGCTAGAGGCTTTCCCACATTTATTGCTTTCATAGGCAGTATGAAGGCAATAAACGGTCTCTACAGTGTGAACTGTGATGGACAGTAAGGCTTGTACCAGTGCTAAAGACCTTCCCATATTTATTACATTCATAAGACTTTTTTTCCAGTATAAATTTTCAGGAAAGATCTATGGCTAAAGTGTATTATGACAAATACTCTATTCATACAGTTTCTCTCTTATATGATTGTTCACATGTATAATGATTCATATGGCCTAAAGGCTTTTCTACATTTATTGCACTATTGGATTTCTCTCCATTATGTATTCTCTGATGGGCAGTAAGATTTGAGCCTTTGCTAAAAGCTTTCCCACACTCATTACATTTATATGGCTTTTCTCCAGTATGAATTCTCTGATGTACGGTAAGGTTTGAACTACAGCTGAAGGTCTTCCCACATTTAATACATTCATAGGGCTTCTCTCCAGTATGAATTCTGTGATGTTGAAGCAGGGATGACCTATGACTGAAGGCTTTCCCACATATACTGCATTCATAAGGTTTCAATCTAGTGTGATTTCTTAAATGCATATTCAGTGATTCTGGCTGGTTGAAGGATTTCCTGCATTTTTGACATTGAAAAGGCTTTTCTTCATTATGAATACTCTGATGCTGAATAAGAAATGACAAGCTGCTAAAGACTTTCAGACACTTGTTGCATTCGAATTGTTTCTCTACAGTGTGAATTCTTTGATGTCGAGTAAGGTGTGAGCTACAGCAAAAGGCTTTTCCACATTCACTACATTCATAAGGTTTCTCTCCGGTATGAATTTTCTGATGGTGAATGAGAGATGACCTATGAATGAAGGCCTTCTCACATATTCGACACTCATAGAGTTTTTCTTGAGTATGAATTCTCAGATGTTCAATGAGATGTGAAACACGACTAAACGACTTTCCACAGTTCATACATTCATATGGTTTCTCTCCAGTGTGAGTACTCTGATGATTAGTCAGTGAGGACACATGGCTAAAGGCCTTCCCACATTCAATACATTTGTAAGGTTTCTCTCCACTGTGACTTATCTGATGTCGAGTTAGGGATGAGCCATGGCTAAAAGTCTTCCCACATTCATGACATTCATATGGTTTCTCTCCTGTATGAATTCTCCAATGGCGATTAAGGATTGATTGTTTGCCAAAGGCTTTCCCACATTCATTGCATGTATAGACTTTCTCTCTATTATAAGTCTGATTAAGGGTAAGAGATTTGCTCTGGCTGAAGGCTGCCACACTTTCTTTAGAATTCGAAAGTTTCTTTCCACCATTGATCTCCTCATTTTTTACAACAGACTTTTTTGGTAAGCTCTTCTTAAATATATCATGTTTATGTGATTTCCCTTCAGCAGAAATTCTCTGTGGTTCAGAAAGAATAGACTTTAAATAGAAGATGCTTCTAAATGTATTGTATTTGTAAACATTTTCTCCAGTGGGGCTTTCTCTAAAGGTGAGGGTCACCGGTCTGAAATGTTCTACCTGATTTTCATGCTTCCCCTCCAACTTCTCTATATACTCCCAGTCCTTGTTAAAATTTGAAAATTCATGACTTTGTTTTATAATTTTTTCTATTATTACCGTTTGGGGTGAATCTTCGTCATAAATATCCTCCTTCGTTAATAATTTCTTGTTTTCCCATCTTGATTCCCAATCTGAAATATATCAAGAAAACAAAACACTGCTTTTTCTGTACTTCTTGAAAAGAAACTTCTATGGTAAGAATAAGAGATAAGAAACAGAGCACATCTCCACCCCCAGAAAGCGCATGACTGAATTCTCATTTATTCAATAATTTCTGAACAAAGTTCAAATGGAGCACAGAAAACAGAGACAGCTCACAAAGATGGGAACAGGGTGTAATAAGGGAAATGAGTTAAAAACAGGCAATCAGTATGTGGACTAAAAGTGAAATTATCAGAAAAAAAATACACAAAGTCTTCTGGATTCCAAGCCAACATTCTATTCTATACCTACATTTATGTGGAAGACCACATTTTGTCTCACAGCCTTGGTTCTCCAACTTTCAATTAATCTCAATTTGCTTTCAGATTAGCATGCTTAAAATGCACAATTTATAGTAGTACATTAAAAAGTTAACAATGAACAAAATATTCTTTATCACTCAGAAAGAATTAGGCTTTGTTTGTGTAAGATCTGTGTGAAATCATAGAAAATACTGTTCCTAGAAACCTTTTTATACGTTCTTTACTTCCTTTAAAACTTATGTTCACATTTGACCTTTGAAGCTCAGCCTTAGGGGAAAAGGGATTTCCCATCTGACAGCCTTTCTTCACCTAAAACGACTGGTGTATTTTTCCTTAGGTAGTCTTAAAGAGAACAATTTGTTTTATTTTGTTTCAAATAAAACAACAATTTGAACTATTATGATCGCAAAATCTTCACTTTTGATTAGATAGCATAATACAGAAAGATAATAATTTGGGATGGAGGAATGGCTGTTTTAAACTCTAAGCTAAGGTTTCAGATAATTATTAGCCCACATACCACTAACTTATACTCAAAGATGGGATGGAGTTGTAAAGTGCTTATATATGGGTGCCTGGGTGGCTCAGTTGGTTAAGCGACTGCCTTCGGCTCAGGTCATGATCCTGGAGTCCCGGGATCGAGTCCCACATCGGGCTCCCTGCTCAGCGGGGAGTCTGATTCTCCCTCTGACCCTCTTCCCTCTCGTGCTTTCTATCTCTCATTCTCTCTCTCTCTCTCAAATAAATAAATAAAATCTTTAAAAAAAAAAAAAACCTTTAAAAAAATTAAAAAAATAAAGTGCTTTTATATAATACAATATTATTGTTAAAGGCGAGGGTTGATTCTTTTATTTTGACATGGCATGTCCTGAAATAAATATCAATTCAATGTGGAAAAAAAAATATCTAAGCTAAGGATCCCTCAATTTGTTACATTTGGGATCTCTGAAGACAGTATCCCTAAAATATCCTAAAATGCCTCCATCCTTTCTACAAGCATGTTTAACAAAGACCTCTTGTGCCTGATTCTCCATGACTTATCTGGAAACATACCTTTTGACAGTTTTTTCTCCACCATCCAAGGTTCTTTCCCATCCTCCAGTAAGCTGATCACATATGGCTTAGGTATGGAAAGACCTGCTTACAGGAAAAATATAAAACTGTTTAAACTGTGGTTCTCATGGAGGAGAGGCCACCATCATAAAAGGAACCAAAGGCAGTTCTGAAGAATGGTCATTGAAATGGGAAGATAAGCTTCAGGAAGGGCACAATAGAGCTCTACACATCCTTGGGAACATGAAACAAAATTCCAGCCATTTACTCAGGAGAATCTCCAGCAATTCTGAGTAACAGAAGATCTCCCTCTTTGGGGTGAAGAGGGAGATATGCTTACCTAGAGAAACCAGGTTCTCATAATTCTGGACCATCACATCCTTGTATAAATCCCTCTGAGCAGAATCCAGCCATCCCCACTCTTCATGAGAGAAGTCTATGGCCACATCACTAAATGTCACCTGAAATAGCAAACATATTTAGGCTCAGTCACAGTCAAGGCCACTTCTGTGACTGGTTAAGGGGTAAAACTGCCCTGGCTGTAGAAGAAAGGGAACAAGATTCAGTAGTTGTGGCAATGACCAGGAATCCGATCTAAGTTAAGTAGTAATTGGATAATTATGTGTTTGGCATTGTTTTACAATAAGGGTAAGAGACAAATATAAGAGCTTTGCTTCAGGAGAGTTAATTCTGTCAAAGGGAAAAGAATTCTAAAATTTTTTTAAATCTGCATTCAACATTTGACAGCATATGTGCTTAGTTGTGTTTTTTATAGTTTACATGATAGGTAAATAAAAAACGATGATCCACTAAGGTTCTAAAAAATGATATCTTGAAAGATAGATGTATACATAACTAATTTATAAACAAAACCCATTTATGGTATGTAATTAAACCCTGTACTGATAATCTATAATTAAAATAATTTGACAGCCCTGGGCAAGAAGACTGAAGAACAGTTTCATGCCATCGGCAGTCCCTGAACTGGACCTTAAGGGCGAAGAATTAGAGGACACATTTCAAGGAAAATATTCTAAGGGAACAGTATTCATTCATGGTATTATTCAAAATAGCAAAACTTTAGAAAAAGCTCAAATGTTCAGTAATAGTTTGTTAGTCAAATTATAATACATGCAAAAAATGTATGCATTTAAAATGGCATTCTTATTACCTTTCAATGGTGAAAGAGACATTGTTTGGCTGTGACAAGTTTTTCATTCCAAGAGTGGTTGATTCAAGTCTATTATTTTATTTGGATATTTTGCATGTATCTTCATTAGTGATACTGGTCTTTGGTTTTAAAGAGGTAATTTACCTTTGTGAGGTGTTGGGAAAATAGTTAAAAAATCCAATCTGCCAAGCAGAAAATCCTCCCCACAACGCAGAAAAGAGAACAGTTTTACTACTGAGTAAGCATCGCAGCAGACTGTAACACACTTCATAGGCAATCACTAATGAGACTGCAAGGACAGAAAGAAACCTCACCCTTTTACAAAGCCAGGCATGTATAATCTGTAACACAGATGTTTTCAAAGAAATAATTTGTCCTCAAGTAAGAGGACTTGGCAGCATCATTTGCAACATACAGTTCATCCTAAATTCACCTGGTAATTGGAGTGGCCAACTGTGTTAATTGCTTTTACTCCAAGAAAAATAAAACTTTTCCTATCTTTACAACAAGCAGATAGTTAGAACTTGGGAGCCAGGAGCTTAGGCTAAACTCTAACACAGACAGGGAGATAGAGGTGCATTGTCCTTCAGGTTTTCATTTCAAAGAGATGGCTGCAAGGCCTTAAGAAACACTTGACTGCCCTAAAAAATGGACAGAGGCTTATTTAGCTTTGAAAAAGATTCATAAGCATCTCAAAAGGAGAGGGAAAGGACTTAAAATTACAGGTTTTCCTCAAAGGAAATACTCTAAAAAAAGGGAGGAGGGGAGGATCTCTTTCCCTTTTGGCACCAGGGAAAATTTCTTTTTCCATTTGTATTTATTCTTACCCAGGTATTAGGGTTAGCTTTATCATATGAATCAAAAAGTTTCCCATCTTTTCCTACTTTCCACAATGGTTTTAAATGATTGGCTTTTACAAACCCCACTTGATAAAACAAATTTAAAAATCAATACTAGGGGCACCTGGGTGGCTCAGTCAGTTAAGCATCCAACTCTTGATTGTGGTTCAGGTCATAATCACAGGGTGGTGAGACTGAGCCCCATGTCAGGCTCTGCGCTTAGCGGGGAGTCTGCTTAGGATTCTTCCTCTGTCTCCCTTTGCTCCTCCCCCCCCCCACATGCACACTCTCTCTCTCCGTAAAATAAATACATAAATCTTTTAAAAAATCAATACTAAATTAATGCACAAGATAATGTTTTATTCCACCAATGCAAAGATGTTTCATATTTTAAGTTTTGAACACATATTAATGAACGTCATTATATTAAGTCTAAAAAAGAAAACTCACATAACCTCATTACTAGATACCCTTTGTTCTTTATTTAGGTCAGGGTTTCTCAACCTTGGCATAATTGACATTTTAAGCTAGATAACTGTTGTGGGAGCTGTCCTGTACCTTGGAGAATATTTAGTTAGTAGCATCCCTAGCCTCTACCCATTAGATACTAGTAGCAATTCCCCGCTGCCCCACTGGAATTATTCTTAGAAAATGTATTGTAAACCCTAAGGGGTAACTGTGGAAGCAGCTGAAGAATCAGCAGCATTCCTGTTCTTGGGCTATTGAATGCAATAGTTGACTTTGAACAGGATCCCATGATCCCCTGGGTCATTCTTAGAACGTGTATTGTAAGCCCTAAGGGGTGACAATGGAAGCAGCTGAAACAGCAGCGTGCGTGGTCTCAGGCTATTGAACACAATGGCCTGGTATGAACAGGATCCCATGGTCCCCTGGGGCAGGGCATAGAGCTATGGAAGAATATAACTCTCAGTCCCCCTTCCTGCACCTGGGGATTGCTAGCCCAAACGTCCCGCTCCTCCCTTATCCCATGACTGCCTCCATGTGGCTGGGCGCCTAGGGGAGGATGCAAGCCTGCCTTAGGGCTTCGAGAGAGTTGCCATCCCTTTGTACTCCTTTCCCACCCTTTGATGCATCTGTCCTTGCTTTTCTGATAAAAAATAAAATAAAGGCTATGGGCAGAATTTAGCTGCTGCTCTCTCCCCTGCAGAGGCAGTCCTGCACGGCAGCTCAGATCAGTGTCTGAGAACTTTATTTCAGTGCATGATGACACCCCTCAGGCTGTGACAACCCAAAATATCTCCAGACATTATCAAATGTCCCCTATAGGTAGGGCTAAAGGGGACAAATTCATCCCTGTTTGAGAACCACCACTTTAGAAAATGTTTGCAGTTCCCTGAAAGACTCTCTTAGCCCTACCTACCTATGCTCAAGGTGTTCCCTCAGTTTGGTGTAACTTCACTTCTATCTCTGCCTCCCTGGTACCATGGGCCACCAAAGCCAGTTCCAGCCTTGCTTCCCCAGGGATGCTTCAACTCTTTCTTTCTCCTTCAACTGCCTGGGCAGCCTAGGATGTTCATTCATTTTTGTCCCCAGAAGAACTTAGGATATTTGTTCCAGCACCTATCTTAATTCCTTATGCTTTCTTGCTTTTCTACCAGCTCTGTACTGCTCAATACAGCCACTAGCCAAATTTGGCTATTTAAGTTTAAATTAATAAAAAAAATTTTTTAAAGATTTTATTATTTATTTGAGAGAGAGAGCTAGAAAGAGCACAAGTGGGGTGAAGGGCAGAAGGAGAAGGAGACTCCCCGCTGAGCAGGCAGCCCGATGCGGGACTCGATCCTGGGACTCCAGGATCATGACCTGAGCTGAAGGCTGACGCTTAACCGACTGAGCCACGCAGGCACCCTAAATTAATAAAAATTAAAAATTAAGTAAAATTTGAAGTTCAGTTCCTGGGTCACTTTAGTCATAGTTCAAGTACTCAATAGTCATATGGGGCTGGTGGCTACCATATTGGACAGCACACATAAAGAACATTTCCACCACTGAGGAAAGTTCTCTTAGTATTGCACTAGATCACAAAGTCCTACATGTCAGTGTACACTCAAACCCACATTAACCCAAACCAGCTGATTAAGCATCACTCCTGATTTTGGCTCAGATCATGATCTCAGGGTCCTGGGATCGAGCCCCAAGTCAAGCTCCATGCTCAGCGGGAAGTCTGCTGGAGATTCTCTCTCCCCCTCTCCCCCACCCCCCCGACTCTTGCTCACCCGCTCGCTCTCTCTAAATTAAATAAATAAATCTTTTTAAAAAAATGAATCAATGAATGATTGGCAACTAGTTCACTTTAGCTTTTACTTAAAAAAAAAAAAGTTTTTCGGGGAGCCTGGTGGCTCAGTCGGTTAAGCGTCTGCCTTTGGCTCGGGTTGTGATCCCAGATCCTGGGATCCAGCCCTGCGTGGGGCTCCCTGCTCAGTGTGGAGCCAGCTTCTCCCGCTCCCTCTGCTTGTATTCTCTCTCTCTGTCAAATAAATAAATAAAATCTTTTAAAAAAAAGTTTTTCTATTTTAGTTATCTAATATTCCCAAGAAACCAGACTCTGCCCAACATCACATATGCCACTAATAACTTCCATGCAGGCTTCACCTTCCACCCCATGATTGTCCCCTACCATTTTTTAAAGTTTATTCACTCAACAACTATTTACTAAGCCTCTGTTTTGTACCAGATACCACTCGAGGTACTGAAAACAATCAACAAAAAAGGAAAAAAAAAATCCCTCCCAGAGGGATGAGACAAACAATGAGCCTATGCATTTAGTAAACAAATAGTGTATTATCTAGTGAGTGATAATCACTATGGAAAACAACCAAGCAGTGAGGAGAAGAAGTGATTGTTAGAAAAGTTGACTGCAGGTGTTCAGGGAAGCTTTACTGAGAAAGTAACCACTGAGCAGAGATAAGAAGGAGGTAAGAATGCAAGTCTGTACATTTCTGGGGAAAGAAGATTCCAAGCAGATGGTACAGCAATTTCCAAGGCCTGGAAGCAGTAGCCAGTGGCTAGAGCTCACAAGAAACAAGGAGACAGAAGTAAGATGAGATCAGAGAGGTAAAAGCCTAATTGCACAAAGCTTTTTAAGTCACTGTAGAACTCTGACATCTGAATTAGGGCCACTGAAGAGTTTTAGAGTGAGCAATGACAGGATGGTGGCAGTGGTGGTGGTTGTGATGGTGTAACCGTTGGTCAGATTCTGTGGATACGTATGTATGTATTTTAGATTAACTAGAGTGTCTGAATGTAAGTTATAGGAGAAAGGAAAGAATCAAAGATGACTCCAAACATCTCTTGACTTGAACAACTGAAAGGACTGATATATCATTAATTGAGACCACATAATAGTACTTTGACAACCATAAAGCAAATAACCCAAAATCCCAAACTTGAATTTTGAATTGTAATTAAAAAAAAAAAAAGTTTTGCTCACGACTCTACAGAGACTTCAAGCAGAAAAATGGGAGAGAAGAGGAGCACTGAACTGAGAGAAGACAGTACTTTGGAGTTCTTCTGTGGGCTCCATCCTTTGCTACAGTGAAAGGAATCATAGATCCCGTCCCTAAAAGGACTTTGTTAGGCAGGAACTGGTAAGAGAAGCAAAGCAAACACTCAAGAGTTCTGCTAAGGTGGTTCAGGAAGATCTGGGGAGATTACCGACTTACCTGGAACATGACTTGTCAATACAGTCCTCTTTCCAGCCTCCTGTCTTAAAGAGTAGTAGTGTCCTGAGAAGGCAGATCAAGAACACAAAAAAGGAGCCATGAAAAATGAGGCTTATCTTGCAGCGCTGTGACACATCCGCAAGTAAACACTGGGAATCACTTTCTAGGGCTCCATTCTCTCCCTAAACTAGCAGAGTGTTCCTTGGCACGAGGTAACCATTCACTAGGTGCCAGAGGCGTGTAAACCAACTACTTACTACATATTGTTGAGGCAGACTCACAAAACAACAGTAATAACGTTAAGAGCTCATTCGATCTTCACAACTATGCATGATAGACATTAACATTATTCCACATTTCTTTTGTAAACGATGAGAAAACAAACTCAGCGATACTGAACCAATTTGTTGAAGGCTGCACAAATGGAAAGCGTCACTTTCACGACTGGATTGCCTAAAAACCACTGCGGATGGCGTTTTCTTTCAGGGCGTACGCTGCACAATCACTCGCCCATTTCCTTCTCGCAACAACTCAATGAGGTAAACGACACCCCTTTTACAGAGCAGACAGGCCCAGGAAGCTAAGGCCCTGCCGGGGCTCACACCGCGGTGTAGACTCGGCACCAGCGAGGCTGTGGCGGCCGTGCCCGGCGCCCGGCCACCCTGCCGGGACCCACACTTGCCTGAGTCCCGGCGGGCCCTCCCTGGCCCTGAAGCCCGGGCCCGGGAATCCAGAGCCCGCACCTCCGCGTACTTGACCCGCGGAGAGCGGACCACGGCCGCCGCCGTCGAAAGAACTGCACTACACCAGGAGAATTCCGCTGCCTGCCTGAGATTTCCGCGAGGTGTACGGAGGACAGAGCCCACACCGGAACAGCATTTCCCAGCTTCCTCCGCGTCAGCGACAAGTTACCTGTGCCTCGCACGTCGCCGCGTAAAACCACACTTCCCAGAAGGCTGCGCGTTCGCGCGCTCTTTGAGCGCCTGGCGAGAAAAAACGGTTGAGCTTTCTGAAGAACGCCACCGCCTGCAGCCTTCATCGCCGAGCTGCTCAGCTAGGACGCGCACGCGAAGTGTAGAAAGGACAACGGGACCCCACCTCTGTGTGCTTCCTAAGTACAATGACGTCCGAAGCACGAAACTACACTTCTCAGAAAATGATGCGGCCGCGAAAGGTCTTCCGGGTCGCCGGTCCGCTCGAGCGTCCGCCCTCCTGCCGGGACGTGGGCGGTTCGTGCTGGTGCCGGCGGAGAGCTGGCATCTATCAGCGAAAGGTCTCTCATGCAAAATCCGGGGCCGCTCTGGCCAGCTCGTGTGGACCTTGAGTGTTTGGCGCCCACTTGCCCAGGACTGTGGTTCCTAAAATGCCCGTTGTCAGCGGACAGACAACACTTCTCGGAAATTGGTGCGGTCGCGTCACGGCTGTGACACTGACTGCCGCTGTCATGTGTACAGGTCCTCGAAGGACTCAGAAACGGCGGCCTCAGGTGAGCGGCTTAAGGTAAAAGGCCTTCACTCCTGTAACCGTAGAGCCTGACCCACTTCTGAACCCAGAAACGCTGTCCTTGCCCCCACCACCACCCGAACAGCCATATGGACGTAGATGTACGTAGGCCAAAGCACTCTACTGCGGGTGTATATGTGGGTTGTTGCCTTTACTTTTTTTTAATTTAATTTTACTTATAATTGTTCATTTTTTTATTTTTGGATTTTATTTGTTAGCACAAGCGGGGGCGGGGGGCGGAGTGGCAGGCAGAGGGAGAAGCAGGCTTCCCGCTGAGCAAGGACCCTGGAATCATGACCTGAGCAGAAAGCACATGCTTCACCCACTGAGCTTCCCAGGCGTCCCTGTTCATTTCATTTTAATTATGCTTATTTTTAAATTATAATGTGACTATGAGTTTTCTTGTATATGTCAAGCACTTAGGTGCATAAGATTCATTAGAAAATGCTTCCACCTTGGTATATATCTCAAGGCTGTGGTATTTAATTCCTGTAGCATCTGTTGGTGGGAATGCAAGCTGGTGCAGCCACTCCGGAAAACAGTATGGTTGCAATTGCACTACTGGGTATTTACCCTAAAGATAGAAATGTAGTGATCCGAAGGGGCACCTGCATCCCAGTGTTTATAGCAGCAATGTCCACAACAGCCAAACTATGGAAAGAGCCAAAATGTCCATCGACAGATGAATGGATGAAGAAGATATGGTGTGTGTGTGTGTGTGTGTGTGTGTATACACAATGGAATATTATGCAACCATCAAAAAATGAAATCTTGCCATTTGCAACAACATGGGTGGAACTAGAGAGTATTATGCTAAGTGAAATAAGTCAGTCAGAGAAAGATAAGTATCATGATCTCACTGATATGAGGATTTTGAGAAACAAGACAGAAGATCATAGGGGAAGGGAGGGAAAAATGAAACAAGACAAAACCAGAGAGAGAGACAAACCATACGAGACTCTTAATCTCAGGAAACAGACAGGGTTGCTGGAGTGGAGGGGGGTGGGAGGGATGGGGTGGCTGGGTGTTAGACATTGGGGAGGGTATGGTGAGCGCTGTGAATTGTGTAAGACTGATGAATCACAGACCTGTGCCCCTGAAACAAATAATACATTGTTAATAAAAATTAAAAAAAAAATAATTCCTGTAGCAAGAGTAGTTTGTAAAAACACTGGCATCACCTAGATTCTCCTCACGGCTTCCAGTAGGTAACAAGAAAAGATTTGCCAGTGCAAAGTATATTCCCATCCATGTCTTTATTATACAATGACAAATTGTTTTCCAAAATTGTACCAATTTGCATTCCTACCATGGTTTATAATTATTTTGGTTGCCAATTATTACTGCCAGTACTTGATTTTGTAAAATTTTCAAATTTTGCCAATCCGCTAAGTGTGAAATTGTGACTCAATGTGGCTTAAATTTGCATTTCTTTTATTGTTAATAAGATTGAGAATCTTTTCATGTGTCTCTTGGCTTTAGTATTTCCTTCTCTGAGAATTGCACATCTTTTGGTCAATGTTCTTTTAGAGCAAAGGCCTTTTTGATATTAAAATACAAGTTATATCGAAAAATGCAAGATTTTAAAGGGGGAGTGCAGAGACTAGGATATTAGAGTTTTTTCCCCCTTAGAATCCTGGGTTTGGAACTGGATTCAGTAACCAAATGTGTTTTTTACAGTTTTTGCATGTTTTGGGGTGTGAAATTCTTCGATTTTTCTCCTGCTAGGGATATGTTGAGCAACTTGAATCTGTGAAGTGGTGTCTTCCTCTGCTCAGCAAATTTTTCTTCCGTTTTCTTTCTTTTTGTGAACACCAGTTGGTAGGTCTTTCTACTCTGTCCTTCATGGGTCTTAAATCCTCCTCTGTAATTTCCATCTTTCAGTGTCTGTATTGCATTCTGGATAATTTATTCTGCTCTGTCTCCTATTCATAATTCCCTTTCCAGGCAATTCTTTTAAATTTCAGTTTTTTAAATACTTTTGGTAACATGGTAGACACCGTTGACTCATGATATGCATGTGATAATGCCAATAACAAGATTTTATGAATCTCTTTGTAAATTTTTTTAATCCCTCACTCAACTTGCTTTGTTTCCTCTTGGTTGGTTATCTTTGTGTGTCAATTTGTCCTTGAAAAGAGATATTCTGGGGCTTCCCAATATCCTTGTATGAAAGTACCCTTCTTTTCTAGAGATTACATAATTTCATTTTCGGACAAGTTCTGGGATTACTGCCAGTCTGAAACCACTTTAAACTATATTTAGATGTAGAGTCCCTGCTCGGTCCATCCAGTAAACCTTACATAGGGATTCTTCATTGTTGCTGCTTTTTCTCATAACCTTCCTGCGAGAATTATAAAGCCTTCCCATTATGAGTCGTCAGATTTTTGGCACATAAATTAAGTTCATGGTGGGGTGAGGGGAGTGGCTAACCTCAAAGGACTAGATGGGGCTGGGGGCAGAGGTGAGAAGTTTAAATAGAGGACTAATGCTTTTGTTTCAATAGCTATTTATGGCCAGCTCTTAAAGAACATTACTTTCAAAGCTGAACCCCTAACATGTGAGTGCTCCAAAAAGGATAGAGGCACTCTGATGAGTCGAGAATGAGAGGAGAAATCTAGGGGCAGGGGGAGTGGGAACTCACAGGTGTAAGTAAGCTGGTTTTAAATATGCCATTCTCTTGTAAAAGAAAATAGAGCCAAAAGAGATCAGTAAGGATATAGCAAAATACTTGACATGACATAACTGAACCGATTCCTTCCACTAGCCCTAAGCTGCCTTCTTTACTTTTTCTATTAGGCAATATTTATAGTAAATGATTTTACTGTTGGAATTTATCTGGTCAAGGGCAAATTTTAGAATATGAACTTGGAAGAAGAAGAACCAGTTCATGTTGATTCTGAAACTGTCCCAAGACTCAGGGCAAAAAGTAAGTTTGGAACTCAAACTTCCATAGGCATCAAAAAATCGTATATATTTGCCACAGAGAGAAGTTCTTGCTGAGACCTCTGGTAGAGATCTTTGACCTTGTTACTGGCTCATCCTCCATCTGTCACTTTATAATGAGCCTACACATTCCATTATAGGCCAAAGTTTTAAATCCAGGAGTCTAGTCCCAACTCTCTTGTCACTAATTTGAAGACCTGTCCATTCCAGTCTGGCCAAGGCCTGACCCCAGAATGTCCAGTGTAGAACCTGTGCAGAGCCTCCAACAAAACCTTCATGTTCTCTCCTTCTGTCCTTGAGGAAATTGGACATCGTACATCTCTATTTATGTTACCAGTATTAGGTTCACACCAGACTAAAGGGTGAACCCTGTGGGAAGTGTCAGGTATCCATATATTTGACCAATAGTGTATAACCATTGTTTTGGTAGGTCGTCTGGGTTCCCTGAGGGCAACTAAGGGCTGGTGTCAAGGGCCCTGTTTGTGGCTATGATGGGGAGAATGATGCCCTTCTCATTTCTTTTCTTCCCTCTTGGATCATGGAGGAATTGGAATAAACCT